ACGCGACCTTATTAACCGCATTGCGCGGTATTAGGGTGAAAAGCTGCCGTCGCTATTGCGCAATTAATCGTGTTTTCGCGAGCGAGTGTTGTGTCAGTGCCATCGTGAAACAACGAGAAACGAGAGAACGCGAGAGAAGGAGAAAATCCAGGCTATGACGCGGAGCAATTATAAGGTTAATGACTTATCATCCATTTATTTTTCGAATCACATCGCCGATACATCGTTTCGGTGAGTTAGATTATTTTTTATTTTAATTTTGAGGTAAAACGGATCTGCGAGAGAGAATGTATGACGAATACCAAAAGCAATTCGAAGGATTAATAATGTTTTCTTTACAATTATTAGTATATAAGGAATTTGCAATTATGTAACAGCTGTAGCAGTAAATATTATCTATTCTTATAAACTCTGATATCTGAATTCATATGATATACTTTTATAATACATTAAAAGAATTTTCTGTATATATTTCATAGATCCATTGTGCCTTGAAATGGGTGGGCTGGGACGTTATTCAAAATGTTTAACTCCAGAATATGTATAATCATCCGTTGATTTATTGTGCGCACAAGAACGCATACATATGAAAGCTCATAAAATAGAGCTTATTATCAATGCATCATTGACCGATTTGATCATTTATTGGCATATTTTGATGTATTATTATGCAACAGAATATTAATTACGAATTGCCCAAATTGCTTGAAATTTGTAGAAAATTTAAACTTACGAGCAAAAATGGAAAAAAGATAGGAAATGCTTCACATCTACGTTTGACAAAAATGGATTTATTTACGTAAAAAAGGAATTATCTGGTGGAGATATTATTTTTCTTATATATTTTGATAATTATGAATAATTTTGAAATATTTTATAATTATAGTGAACAATTAATTTGTGTAAAAAGTCACTTGAATAATTATTAATTATTTTTATATTAATTTTTTATATTTATTTACATAAATTGATATACTTTATTTTATATGATATAAAATATAATAGATCTTATAAACATTTTGTCGTAAAAGAGAAAAGTTATATAAATTAAGATAATAAAAAATATATCTATAAATTGGTCAGTTATACGCAAGCTTTTTTTTTAAAATGTTTGATATTAAAATAATTCTTTCCCTTAAAGATTAGGGTATATATGTATATACAGGGTGTCATTTAATAGTGGGGATTTTTTTGGTGTGCAGATAGAGCGGACTAGACGGGGTCGAAAAGTCCTGTACCATTTTGCAATTTTCGCAATAAATAACGAGTAATTAATTATTCAAAATTGTCGTCTTAGCCATCATTTTTCTATATTAATCGCCCAGATACTTTCCGTGCGCCTGGTAATATCGATAATATCGATCACCGGGCGGTCATATCTCGCCACGCGCTCGAATTGGGAGGTGGGCCGGGCTAAAACGACAATTTTGAATTATTAATTACTCGTTATCTATTGTGAAAATTGCAAAATGGTACAGGACTTTTCGACTCGGCCTAGTCCGCTCTACCTGCACACCAAATAAGTCCCCAATATTCAATGACACCCTGTATAATTAATTTTGATATTATGACTAAATTAGCAATATAATAAATAGGTAATAACGAAAGTCAATATCGTTTAGCCACTTAAAATTTAAAAAAAAAACGATAGACTGATACGCGCGTGTACGCCCGATTACGGATTGAGTACGCACCAACTTTACGCAATGCCATTTCTAACCTCGATTATTTCTAATTCGGAAACTATCGTGCTCCCTCGATGTTTATGTATTAAGATTTTTCGACAAATTAATCTTCAGCGTACGTTATTAAAGTATCGTACGATAGTCGCCGGACACTCGGTACACGGTATTCTTGGCGCGGGCGAGTTTCCGGGAGAGCACTCAATAGGCTAAGTAAATCAGAGGCCTTTGGCCAAGAGCGAGGCCACCCTTTAACCCCCATACCAGCCCCACCGTCATCCCTTGCGTGATGATAGAAGTGGGGATGGCAGGGACAACAAAGGGTCGGCTAAGAGCTCTTCAGCGGCCACTCGCGCACCTTCCCCAACCTAGGAAGCATCACGTACTCTTCGGCTCAACTAGTCTTGCTTGCTTGCTTACTTGCTTGCTTGCTGCTGCTTGCTCGCCCCATGACGTGATTGCCACCGAAATGTGTTTACCGTAAACCGTATCAAACTGTCGAGGGCCGGCCCGCTTGAGCGTTGTAGCTGTCTGTCTTTTTCGAGTACGTCGATAAAAGTACGTATCTCCATCAATTTTGCGAGCCGCCGTCGCGCAATCTTCCATTTTTCCATTCTTGCGAAGGTCAATCCCGAAACGGGCACAGTAGAGAAGAAACCTTATTCAATGGGATTTGTATTCTTTGTTACTGACATGCCGGCTTATGATTCAGTCATGGTGAAGATAATTGATGGAGTAAATCTAGGTGTAATGTTACTGAAAGATTTTTTCTTGGTACATGCTGATGAAATCTTTTATAAAGTTTTCCCAAGATTAACACGTTCTTTTAGTGCTGAGTCTTAAAGATTTGTCAGGAGAATGCATACAATGCATACGATATACATATACATATTATAAATTTACTTGTGAGATATACGCATATTTCAGTTAAGTTTATATTCTAATCGCCTTTCTAGGCAAGTTATTATAATTACCCGTTCGCAAAAATAAATTCAAATCTAAATTTGTGTAATGTTATGAGAAAAATTCAGTTCAATACGCATATATTTGAATCTGCTAATTGATATATTACATATCTTTGTATTCTCCTTTCACTAGTAAATTTCTAAGCTTTAGCAATAATTCTTGAAAGTAGGTTAATTCATAAATAATAATTTATTGAATTATTATTTAATATTATTTAATTAATAAAAAATAAATATTCTTAATAACAATAAAACTATGTGCATTTAGATGCAATCTAACATATCTATCTATAATTATTAATATAAATATGGACTGTGTGTGTCTGTATAGCAAATTGTTTAATTGTATGAGTTTCAATTATCAGTACGAACAGATTTTCTCGACGCTCGTTGACACAAGAAATTTCGTTTCTTTATCGGGATAGTGTTAGCGCAAAATTTTATCGCGGCAAACAATCCCCACCGATCAATCGACGATTAAAAGTTCACATTACTTACGCGCCGAAATAATTTCAATGGCGATGGGGGAAAAGGGGGAGGGTCGGATGACTACGATTCAAACACCAATGGCCCGTTGACAAACACGATGGTCACGATCTCGATAAATATCGGCACACTCTGATAAATATCATGTTCGACTTCGATAAACCGGGCATGGTTAATCGACGCTTGCCGGAATTAAAAACTTATTGATTATCGGAATGTAATTCCCGCCTCGATGATGCTCATCCGCCCATTATTCTCCACCTACGTAACGATCAGCCGTCCTTGACTTGTATAGGATAGCACGGCGAACGCTTGCAAGCTCGCTGCTCAAAGTGGCCGTTACCACGCGATCAAACTCAAATTAGCCGGATAATAATGGTAATAATTAGACGCGTGCGTCGTCTACATCTGTACTTGATCGTCGCGACGCAAGGTCGCTTCGTTGCAACCGCTGTGTAACAGTTTTGATCGAGTTAATTAGGGTGATGTGATGTATTGCGCGAATTTAGAAATTTAGAAACGAGAATAAAAATTCAATTTACAATATAATCAACTTTTGAAAATTCGTTTATATACACATTTTGAATCAATTTTCTGCTAGAAAATTTGTGATGCTTTACAGTACATGTATTTTTATATCGAGAAGAGTTTCGCGAATTATAAGTTTCAGTTGTGAAAGCGGGAGTAAAACATTGTTTTATGCGATTAATTAAGAGTAAGACTTTTTACTATTGTACATAATTTGTACAATATATAAATTATTCCGTATAGGGATATTTAATATGATGAATAATATCGGTTTTTTTACTTGGGGTATTTTTGTTTCGAATATATAATAATCGCATATTAATTTCACAACGTATACGTACGTAGAGTCTTTTTGTTTTTTCTCCAGTCGCGAAAAATATCACTCGCAAATTATTACTTGAATAGATTTACTGATCCGAATACAATAGAGAAAATTTTACGAGTACCTCGAGTGGATCGGTTCTTGCTGCTTAGGAATATGAAGTGCATCTGGGCCGTGACCAGTAGCTGCCAAAGCACACGGTACAATCATCCTGAACAGGCCGGAAGCTATTCCGCCCCAATTTGCAATCCAGCGAGCCAGTGCTAAATACCATCGCGTAGAGTCTCACAATCAGACAAAAGCCGGCTGCTATGTCTGCGATGTATACGAGTCTCTTTATTATTGTTTTGTTGTGAAATACAATCTAGTATAATTAAGTGAGCAGCTGCCGATTTCGCGAAATGGAATATTTATTTGCCGACGTGAAGACTAGCGTCAAGTGTTAAATAGAGTGCTACTATAACAGAACTAACATATCGAAAATAGTACCGTCGAGTACACAGCTTTATGCTTAGAGTGGCGATTCGCGGTAGAAAGATCAATATAAATGAATTCTACGTAGACTATCTAATTTGAAAAGCGAGAATATTTGTACAGGTTTCGTATTAAATGAACTCTTTTCCACTTATATTAGTTAACGCTACCAATTCTTCATTTTCTGATAATGATGAGAAAATAATTTTGCATTATACTTTAAATACTTTAAATCTATAAACATTTCCACTAATCTATTTTTATCAGTCTTTAATTTCCTAATTCAAAATTTTTTATATCAGGATGCTATTGAGTTACCAAAGTAATAATGTTGAAGCTTTTATCATTAAACCAAATCGAGTGCGTGTCAAGTATACAGACTCGTAGTTAAATTATTAGCTTCCATATTTAATTATTAAATTAATTACTATAAAACGCTGGACTTTTATGATGCATGTGAGAAAGATAAATTTTATTTATAACATTACTAATTTGGTTACATATAGTGCTTGCAAAATTTTTAAGAAAATTTATTTATCTTTAAGATAAAATAATCCTAAAGAGAAGATTGAAAAGTCATTTAAGAAAACCCACGAATCCACGGATTATCGGACTGCAACACGAAAATATATACATAACTAAAAGTTTTTTCTTTTATTTACATTACATACTGCATTATACGTCACAAATATGTAATGAAATATGTAATGAAAAGTAACATTTGAAGATACCTTAAGAATTGCACGAAGAAAAACAATTTGTATTTCGTTTTATCTCCTCCATTGGCACTGAGAAAAGTCTGAAGTTTATCTCGTTTGCATTTAATGGACCCTCTAGATGTCGGAAAAAGGTGCTCGATAAAACGAATAATTTGTTCTGTCTAATCTTCATCCCGCTTACATATTGTAGATATATTGGATCGGATGCAATAACTGCCTAAAAGTTATTATTTATAAATTTTATTTGTTAAATAAAAATATAGGTATCGTTGCCAAATCGGTCTCTGGTTGGGTACAAAGTAATTAAAATAATCTAGTATACAGGAAATAATTGTATTCGAATATCGTACCTTGTTTTTGGAGTCAATTGCTTTAGTAGCGTCCGCACACGTAATAGATGATTTTTCGACATCGTTGAAAAATATTGCACATCTATCAGACAGTAACACTGATGTCGGACTTTCTAACTCATTCGTCAATTGAGTTTGCTGACTAGCTTGATCAATATCCTTTTGCGAACATTGTATTAGCTTTGAATATTCGATTTTGTACATTTTTGTCCCCAACAAAGCTATGTAGTGTAAGCCTGAAATATTTACGATGAATTTGTGAATTACGGAGAGTAGAAAAATATTACTCTTAAGTCATTTTTCACGATTATCTGTAAATGCAGCATACATTAATAATAATGAAAGAAAGAGAAAGAGAAAAATGATATAATGCAAAGAGTCTGAAGTGTTAAATAAAAATCAGTAATATACCACTACTACTACTACCATGTAATGTAACAAACTCACAAAAATAATAATCTCTTTTTCTGATTAAGAACAAAAAGTACTAACTTTCACCAATAACTGTCATGCAAAAGGTGTTGTCGATGTAAGGAAATGTTATTCTTCGTACCATATGTTCCTTAGTTGTCTCCGAAGTAGCATTGAGACTGCACATTTGCGAACTGCGCGCATTATATACTATTAGATTAGCCTTTTCGACGTCTCCTATAAATACCTGAGTCGCGATTTGATTAATACAATATTATTATAGTCGCATATTCATTAACAAAATGAAGAGAATGTAACATATCAAATGAGTACTAAAGCATACACGCATTATATGATTATAAAGAAGTTTCTCTCTCTGTTTTTCTCCCTCTAACTGTCTTGTCTTTCTTAAATTAAAAATATTATACTAACAATTGCATTGTCCTTTATATTAGTGCAATCCGGAGCGTAAACGAAAACTGTAGTTAATATTCCAATGCCGGCTATATGAGCGATTTTATTCGGGATGGGGACTCGTTTAACTAATTTATCGGTTGATAAATCGAAGATGAATAACTTAGGTGAGCATAGATAATCAAGCCCCCGTTTACCGCTATCCATAAAGAATAGATGATTGCATTTAATCTAAAGAAGGTAAAAAATATAAATATTATACATTTTATTATTTTGCACAAATGAAGGTAAACGCGTTAAGTAAGTAGCATCTAACATACTGTCAGGCGTTTAAATATAACATGTACAATTTGTCGCCTCAAACGAAAGATATACTTACATCTACTTGATAAACGTCAGATACAATACTGTTGCAATCTGTTTCGTTTTTATACCAAGACCAATCTGGATATGGACGCAAAAGTGGACCACCCTTTCCTAGTTTCTCTGTTATCGTCATTACACTAACTGGCATACCTTTATCTTTTATCGCGGTAACAAATATTCTACCATCTATAAGAAATGTAAAAATATAATTTGCGTTAGATGTGTTAGGATGTATTTATCGTGAATATATCGCAATAGTGTTGCAATAGTGTTAGTTATTTGCATTAGTAACTGCAAAATTTTATAACAATAATATTTATATCAAATTATGTGTGATGATGTTTAATATAACAAGTAAAGTTTAGTATAATAGTTTAGTAGGTTTTCGTGTTAAAAGTATCCGCATTTCCAGAAAACAATTACTGTACAATCTTAGAATAATGTCGATTTACCAGGTGCCTTATCTACGCCATGTAAAAAAGCTCCGGTAGCATTCTCGTAGTAGACGCCAGAGTCTATTGCTTCCTGCTTCTGTTGTGGACTCTCCCAGAGAATATCAAAGTATTTCCATTCGTACTCGAGACTCATTTTACTGAAACCCATAGTTCCCAACGACAGAATTGATATCACTAGAAGAAAATACCTCATTTTTGCGAAGCGTATAGACAATTACATGCAATAATATATAACGTAACTAAATTGGAGATACGTAACTCGCGAAAGGGACAGGTATGAATGAGATGAACATTAGCTTGCATTTACGGTATATATATAAAATATATGTGTATATGTTTACAATGTAATGCATTCAAGAGAATTCAAAAAAATTCATATCTTTATTTAGCCTATCAGCTTAAAGAATCGGTCTTAATTAGGAATTAGATTTATTATACATATAATGAATTTGAACTCAGAATTTTCACTCTTGCTGTTTCTGCATAAGAGATTCATATATGTATCCAATGCATTTACATGTGTATTACTTATTACTTTCCAGTCATTAATAATATATCTGGAGTAATTAGTCAGTCAAATCTCGAAATGAATAGTTGGTATAATTTTTATAAACAATATGCGTATTTGTTGAAGTTGAATTTATCGAGTAGATATGATATTGGATGTAACAGTCGATGTGACAACGTATGTGAGATCATCACTCAAAGAGAGAGGAGAGAAAGAACATTTTTACATTCATTAATAGAACTGTAAATTAACAGATAATGGTAAAATTCTTGCATTTCTATATCTAATTTTATTAAGCTTTGATTAAGTTGAAAAATATTCTACGAGATATTCGGATATGGAATATATAACAATCAATTTTTCAAAGAGACTTTCATCTCCAATTATTTTTACATCAATATGCATATATTTACCTTCTGCATATGGTGAAATGAGAACGTAGATATACATGACGACGTTACAGTTGAATGACAGAAGTATGATAAGTCAAGTGATATGATAGCATGAAAGTAAAGTATGACAGAAGTATATTATCGGCTTTTTACAACTCATAAGCATTTAAATGTTACGTATATGAGATTTGTCAAGTATATATTATTATAATAAGTAATTGTATAATATATGTCATGTTATAATTTATAATCCTTTTCGTGCTCTGGTCACTGTACTATTTATATTCTAATTGTTAGTTAATGACTTTGCATGGATGAACAGGACCAATTTTCTGATCTATACTTATTAGAAAGTATTTTTTTTACATATAACTTGATTCTCGAAAAGTGATTGGAACTGGGCATATTGTATCGCACAGTCAAATATAAAATGGAAAACGTTTGTTTTATTTTTTGACGATTAGTTGACACTTTTCACTCTCTAATTTGCAAACACAAGATTAGCATAAGTCGACTTCAATTTATTTCTTCGTTATAGACGAGAACGAGTAACAAATTTTCGTGAATTAAGTTTCATTTGTGAAAATGGAAATAAAACATTATTTTATACGATTAATTACAAATAATATTTTACTATAAAAATTACTTCATAATTGGTGAACCAATGTTAGTTTCTTACATGGCATACTTTTGTCATTAATGTAATCGTACCTGTACTGATTCTTGAACGTATACTATAATATATACTATGTAGAATCTTTTCATTTTTTTTGCCATCACGAAAATTTGTGCCCACAATTTATTACTTGCAAAGATTCATTGTTCCAATTACAGTAGAGGAAATTTTACGAGTGTAACCGAATCTCGTGGACTTTTTTCGGTTCGGGATTAGTGCTCATTTTCAAACTTTGACAGAAGAGCAAGAAGCAGTGAAGTAGAAGACAATCAGAACTCAGTTCTTTTTTGTTTCCTGCGTTTCTGCAAAGGTCTGAACACGCCCTTATAAAGTGTATCTAGGTTGTGACCAGAAACTGTCTGAAACACGTGGTAAAATCCTGGCAATCCTGAATAGACCGAAAGCTTCGACTTCTATTTGTAATCCATTGATCCAATACTAAAAAATCCAATACTATCCCAGATAGGGGCCGGTTGCTATGTTTGCGATGTAGATATATGAGTCTTTTTCATTGCGAAATATACATACGCTAGTATAATTAAGTGTGCTATGTTTGACAGCAGATTTCACGGAATATCACGAGACACGGTAGTGTCTCGCGCCAAGTATAAGCGTAGCTAAAACCGCGCGCGCGAGATCGACCGTGTAGTTTACGCCAGTACGCGAGTTGACAGGCCCTCCGATTTTCGGATCTCAACAACGGTTTATTTGATGTGAATAAAAGTATCAAGTGTTAAATAGATTGCTGCTAATAGAATTAACATATTAAATATAGTACCGTCGAGCAAGCATACAGTTTTTTCACCAGACTCACGATTCGTGACAGAAACAAAGATCAATATGAATGAATGGTACGCAGACCGGGTATATAATTGAAAATCGAGGGTGTCTGAAGGGGTTTCATATTCAATGAATTCTTTTCCATTTCTATTAGTTGCTACCAATTTTTTATTTTTTAACGGTGAGAAAATTATATAATACTTCGCATTATTAAGACTTAAAATTTATAGAAATTTACATTTATCTATTTTTTATCAGTCTAAAGTTTCATACGTGAAAATTTTTTATACCAAAATGCTATCAAGATACTAAAGATTACAGGATTATGACTGCAGCGGTATTAATATCGAAACAATTATTATAATATTAAACCAAATCGAGTGTGGTTCAAGATTCATTCTTGTAATTAAATTATTAGTTATCTTTAATTGTTTAATTAATTATTATACAACACCGGATTTTTATGATGCATGTGAGGAAGGTAAATTTTATTTTATATTAACTATCTTATTACATATTGTACTTGCAGAAATTTTAGGAATATTTATTTATTTTTAACAAACGTGAAAGCAAAGTGATATGGAAATGTCCCAGTTTTTTAGTGCTTGAACATACATTGTTGGATGTTATTTGTACCATCTTTAAATCAGATTTTTTTTTATTCTAAAATCCTGTGCCCCAAAGAATTAAATTAAAATCATCCTATAACAGGCTGGAAAGTTCAGAAAGACCCACAGATCCACAGGCTATCTACCTGCAACCTAAAAATATATGTGCATAACTTAAAAATTTCCTTTTATTACATAATGCAATATATATCATAATATAAGTAATAAGTATAATAAAAAATAAAAATAGAAAGTATCTTACTATTTGCACGAAGAAAAGCAATTTGTGGTTTTTTGAATCTCCTTAATTGGCATTGAAAAAACACGGAAATTTATCTCCTTTGTATTGAATATTTGTTCATACGGACTATTTAGATTAAAAATCTTAGCTACATGTACGTGATATCTAGAGGATACAACCAATAAGTTGTCTTTTCTAACTTTCATCCCGCGAATTGTAGTTGTACTGGATCATGTGCAATAAGCTCCTGAAAATTAATTTTATTTGCGATAATAAAAACATGTTAAATACGTTTCTCAGTAATCGCTGATAGAGCACATAAAAATATAATTAAACCCAATATGTAAAAAATAATTATATTCGAATATCTCACTGTGTTTGTGGAGTCAAATGGTTTAGTAGCGTCCGCGCACATAATAGATGTTTTGGCAATGTCGCTGAAAAACATTGCACATCTATCAGCCGTTATTATTGCAGTCACACCTTGTAACGTACCCGCCACTTGAGTTTGCTGATTAGCTTCGTTTATATCCTTTTGTGAACATTGTATTAGTTTCGAATATTCTATCTTATATATTTTGTTTCCCACCAAAGCAGCATAGTATAGGTCTAAAACATTTACGAGGGAAATTAATCACTGAGATTAGGATGACTTTGCTATTGCATCATTTTTCACAATTATCAGTACACGAAGCGTACGTGTACGTGAATAATAATAAGATAAAAAGGAGAGTAAAATTACAAATGAGAGTGTAAAGTCTAAAATTAGAATTAAAATCCATAATATGCCATATGATGTAATAAACATAAATGACAATCTTCTTTTTCGGTTAAAAACAGACAAGTACTTACTTTCACCAATAATTGACAAGCCGAAGATAGTGTCATTTATAGGATAACTCAGATTGTCTATTACAAAATGTATATCATTTGCCTTCATGAAATCAGATTCAACTCTGCACAAGTTCGAAGTACGCGCATTATAGGTATACTACTAGACCAGAACCTTCGATGTCTCCCATAAATACCTGAATCGCGATTTGATTAATACAATATTATTATAGTCACAGATCATGCATTATATGTTCATAAAGAATTTGTGGAATATTCTTTCCCTGTTGCTGTCTTTCTAGCTGAGTCTTAGTTTTCTTTAAAAGAATATACTAACAATTGCATTGTCCTTCACATTAGTGCAATCCGGAGCGTGAACGACAATAGAAGCTAACAGGCTAAAGCCAGTTTTGTCAAGAGCGATTTTAATCGGGATGCGGACGCGTTTAACTAATTTATCAGTTGATAAATCGAAAATCAGTAGCTGCGGTATGCATAGTTGATTAAACTCCGATCTACCACCATCCACAATGAACAGATGATTGCATTTAATCTAAAGATGGAAAAAGAAATAAAAAATACATTACATTTTATTATCATTGCAGAAATAATTGTTGATGCAATATTAAGTAGCATTATATCTAATATACTACTGTCGGTTGTTTAAATGCTACGGTTAAATGTATAATCCGTTATCTAAACGAGAGGTACTAATACTTACGTCTGATTGATGAACGCCAGCTTGGATACCGTTGCAATCTGATGTATTGTTATACCAAGACCAATTTGGATAGGGACGCAGAAGTGGACCACCCTCTCCCTGTTTCTCTGTTACCGTCATTACACCAGCCGGTACACCATCGCCTACCGGCGCAGTAATAAATACTCTACCATCTGTAAGAAATTAAAGAATGTACTCGTGCTAGATGTGTTAGGATGTATTTATGGTGGATATTTTGCAATTTTGTTACCACCGCAATGTTATTTGTGTTACAATATCAAAATTGTATAACAAAACTTAGAGCGTGATGACGTTTAGTAAAATGACAGTAAGCTTTTATGTAAAAAGGCATCCGTACTTCTAGAAAGAATTACTATGAAATCTTTGAACAATGTCAACTTACCAGGTGCTATATCCACGTCATAGATAAAGGCTAAGCTAGCGTTGTATACGCCAGAGTCTATCGCGTTCTGCTTCTGTTGCGGACTGTCCCAGAGTAAATCAAGGTATTTCCATTGGTAGTCGAGCTGCATTTTACCGAAACTCGTTGTTCCCATCGACAAAATTGATACGACTAGCAGAAGATGCCACATTTTTGCGTATAGTCGGTTATGTATGTAATAATATATAACGTAGCTACGCAGCGCTAATGGAGATACGTGTCTCGCGAGAGCAAATGTATGAATGATATTAACGTTAGCCAATATTTAAGTACGTTTTCATAATGCATATGGAAATTTAATACAATCTCCTCATTTAGATTGCCTATAAATCGCAACCTAGTATTATAGTTTAATTCGGAATCATTACATTTTTCGCATAAGAGATACATACTGTAGCAAGTATATTTGCATATAAGGTGGAGTGGGGTAAAACCGACCCAGAAATTGTAAACAGTTTACTTTAAACTGATGTATTTTCTATCTATTCCACTAAAACCTAATAATCTTAGTGTTTTTATTTAGCGCATGGTTTATTCTTTAAGTTGCATTAATTTGGATTAAAAATAACTTCTGAAACTTATGATTTTCTTAATCAATTAAAAACAGTGCTGCTAGGGCGGACTTGTCCCGGAACTGGGGCAAAACTGCACCTACCTGTTTAAAAATTATTGAATCTTATTTCCTTATATTATGGAGCAAAAGCGGAATTATTATGGGAACACCATCAACTTTCTCGAACGAGTTAAACGGGGGAATCACAGAATACATGGCGGCCACCTATGTTGATCATTGAATACTAATCAAAGGAAGATTTCTACCTTACAGTTGGTACAATGCAACGTATATTCGAATAAATAAGGGCCTAGTGCGGATTTGCCCCGTGTACGGATTTACCCCACTGCACCTTATATCTATTTTCACGTTATTTCTAATGATAAATCATTGATAAAATATCTAGAGTAATTAGCCTTATGTTGAAGTAACTATTCAGTAAAATTGTTATAAATTTATACAGAATTTATAGAGCGGATATGACGATATGAGGTTACATAACTGTAGATAGAGAGAGAAAGAAAACTTTTACATTTATTTGTACAACTAAATTAATTAATAATTGTGACGTAATGCTTTTCTAGATAATATACGTTCTCTTATTGTCACGATTAATTAAGTTGAAGTCATTTTGCAAGATATTCGGATGGGGAACATAATAATCGATTTTTCAAAGAGACTGTCGTCTCCGATTATTTTTACATCAATTACATATGTATGTCGGGATTTACTTTCTGCATATATAACAAAGTGAATGACAGAAGTATGATTATCAGAGCTGTTTACAATTTATTAATATTTAAGTGCTACGAGATTTGTTAAGTATAATTATGAAAAATCACATTAATATACATATATATCATGTTATTATAATTTTATAACTTTCTTCGCGCTCTGATCACTGTACTATGTGTATTCTAATCATTGGTAATAACTTTGTATGTATGAGCAAAATTAAGTTTCTTTTTTACCCTTATTAAAAATTATTTTTTATTACATAATTATACAGAAATAAGTAATAGGTTTTATACCGTGAAGAGTTTCGCGAAGTAAGTTTCGGTCGGAAAATTGGGAGATAAAAGATCGTTTTATGTGATTAATTAAAATATTTTATCAAAATGATTTCATAATTGGTATGAACACCCCTGCGAAGTTAGTCCCCCATTATTAAAAATTTTAACTTTTTTTACGAGTTCCCTATAGATTTACAATAATTCCAGAGTTCTTGATGGGTATAAGAAATAGTTCTGCCCATTAAAGACGTTAAAATGAATTTTTTTAAATGGGGGGCTAACTTCACGTAGCCCCCCATTTTCGTAAAAACTAATTTTTTAATGGAGCTCTGGATAGATTTCGCATAGATCTAGAGTTCTATCGAAAATCCTAATGGCAAAATTCCATTACATTAATACTTTTATAGTTATGCCTATTTCTGGGGTACTTACTGTTTCTTAATTCTTCAACTTCGTTTTTTTTTACTTTCTCGTGCAAAACTATTGTTAAAATATATCAAGAACTCTAGAACTATGCGAAATCTATCCAGAACTCCATTAAAAAATTAGCTTTTACGAAAATGGGGGGCTGCGTGAAGTTAGCCCCCCATTAAAAAAAATTCATTTTAACGTCTTTAATGGGCAGAACTATTTCTTAAGGGGATGCTGGAGTGTTTCTGCACTTTCGCACCTTTTGCACTTAAAACTGTTTGTTTCGTGGAAAGATTTGTGTAATACACAAATGTTTCCGCGAACTGACAGTTTTTAGGTTAGAAAGGTGCAAAAGTGCAGAATCACTCCAGCATCCCCTTAAACCCATCAAGAACTCTGGAAATATTGTAAATCTATAGGGAACTCGTAAAAAAGTTAAATTTTTAAATAATAGGGGGCTAACCTCACAGGAGTGGTATGAACCAATATCGGTTTCTTACATGGCATGATTTTGTCTCCAATATAATCATATACTGATTCCACTATGTATACATATGTAGATTCTTTTTATTTTCTTTGTCATTGCAATAACTTTTGCCCACAAATCATTACTGGCATAGACTTATAAATCCAAATGCAGTCGGGGAAATGTTACGAGTGCATCGAATGGATCTTGTAGGTCCTTTTTGTTCAGGAATATAAAGTGCATCTTGTCCCTGACCGTAAGCTGTCCAGGCTACACGGTACATTCCTCCTCAACAGGCCGAAAGCTATTCTGCTCCTATTTGTAATCCAGTGAACCAATATTAAATACTATCGCACACAGTCGTAGAAGCCGGCTGCTGTGTCTGCGATGTGAGTCTCTTTAGTACTATTTTGTTGCGAAATATAAGCTATTGTAATAATTAAGTGCACGATGTTCGAATGACGATTTTACGGTGGATTCTTTTTTTGCCGACATGGTCTTTATGGCTAGTATCAAGAATCACGTGTTAAATCGCTGCCAACAGAGCTAATATATCAAAATTAGAATTATCGCGCAAGCACATAGCTTTGTGACTCGAGTGACATGATTCGTGGTAGAAATAAAGAAAAATATGAATAAATCGTATGAGATAGAATCTAATTTGAAATATTTAATTCGAAAAACGAAGATATGTGCAGAGATTTCATATTCAATGAACTCTTTCTTTTATTTATACTAGTTAACCCTACACCCACAGAAAAGATTTCCGGTCCAATGCTATTAGACTTCAATGTATCATAAAATAGGATCGATATAGCGCTAATCATATTTATTATAGAGAAAGGAATATTTTAATCTTAAATGAAAAATTCTAAAATCTAGAATACAATGACAGTATGTCTCGTCTGTTGTCGAATATCGCCAGCTTCGTGCGTTGTAAGATGGAGGGAAAATTTATTCGAAACGCAAGAATATATGAACTTACATTTTATATAAATTACTCTTGTCTCAATATAGCAAGTTAATTGTTTTTAATTCGATAGAGGAAAATAAGAACTATTGATTTTATTTTGATATTGTCTTATTTTTATACTAAATGAGGTTGTGAGACATATAAATGCGTCAAGAATATTTTTTGTCTCGGTAACAGATATTCTTCCTGAGGGTGTATTAGTTCTTCACTTTCTGATAATGATGGAAAAGTAAGTTTGCACTATAAACTTTAAATCTATAAAAATTTACGTTTACCTATTTTTTTCCTGTATTAAATTTCGTAACTTAAAATTTTTACAAGGTGCTATAGCAAAGATTACGGAATTATAATGACGATGGTATTAATAATATCGAAGCAATTACATATTCTTTTTGTAATTAAATTATTACCTTCTACGCTTAATTGTTTGTTTAATTACTATAAAACGCTAAATTTTTATGGTGCATGTGAGGAAGACAAATTTTATTTAGATGTTAACAATGTTGTTACATATAATATTTGTGGAAGTCTTAGAAGAGAGTGACCGTAAATTTAATCCAGTTTGTGGCTTTCGAATCGAATTCGAATTGTATGCCAAACGATGCTATATGATGAGACATTAATCTCAGGAAAATTTAAAATTGAGCATAGGGGCAGTTTTGGAGATACGGGAAGTCAAAGTGGCCAAATTTCCAATATTAACCCTAGAACGCACATGTTATTTTTTTAACCTTCTAACTCACAACAGGGGTCAATATCGACCCCATTTTTTTTAATTGTAAAACCGGTCCTACAGAGATAAAGGGCCTTAATAGTACATGAATTTCTTCGTTTTTTAATAAAGAAGAGAATGATATGCGATAAATTTAGTTTCACTCAAGTTTAGTTAACAAAAATTTATTTAAAGACCGAACAATGAAAATCAGCAAAACCAGGACATTAGGACATTAGGATAACACGGATAACATCTCGAGTACATGACTGTTAGCGCCACTAGCGGATTAGTTTCAACGGCGACAAACTGCGGCCCATTTTATCACCGCGATTTGCCTTCGGTGTCACCCCCCTTAGGGTATCTTACTACTTGCACGAAGAAAAGCAATTTGTGTTTTTTTCAATTTCACTAATTGGTATTGAAAAAACACTGAAGTTTATCTCGTCTAGATTTAACAGACGTTGATATGGTGGTTGCACTAGACCAAAGTAATCAGATACATGTATGTAATATTTATTTGATAACATCAATAACTCGCCCTGTCTAATCTTCATCCCGCTTGAAAATCGTTGTAGTTTTGGATCATATACAAGAGATGCCTAAAAATTAATTTCATTTGTCACAATAAAAATACAAGTATCTCTGCCAACAGCAATCTCCGGATAGGTATAAAGTAATTAAAGTAATCTAGTCAACAGAGAATCATTCGTATTCAGATATCTTACTGTGTTTTTGGAGTCAATTGCTTTAGTAGCATCCGCGCACATAATAGCCGTTTTTGTGATGTCGTTGAAAAATATTGCACATCTATCAGATGCTAACGTTGCAGTCGGCTTTTTTAACGCAGCCACTAATTGAGTTTGCTGATTAGCTTTATCCATATCCTTTTGCGAACATTGTACTAGTTTCGGATATTCTATCTTATATATTTTGTTTCCCGCCAAAGCAGCATAGTATAGGTCTAAAACATTTACGTGGGAAATGTTAATCATAGAAATTAGGATAATATTGCTATTGCATCATTTTTCACAATTATTAATACACGAAGCATACGTGTACGTGGATAATAATAAAGTAAAATAAAATAAAAATAAGAGTACAAATACAAATGAAAGTCTAAAATATAAAATTACAATTAAAATCCATAATATTGCCATGTGATGTAATAAACTTACATAATTAACAACCTTTTTTTCTTTTTAAAAAGCAAACAAGTACTTACTTTCACCAATAATTGTCAGACCGAAAATAGTGTCATTGAAAGGAATACTCAGGTCGTCTATTACCATATGTATATCAGTTGCCTTCATGAAATCAGATTCAACTCTGCACATCTTTGAAGTACGCGCATTATATACCACTATACCAGCACCTTCTACGTCTCCCATAAATACCTGAATCGCGATTTGATTAATACAATATTATTATAGTCGCAGATCATGCATTATATGTTCATAAAGAATTTTTGGAATATTCTTTCCCGGTTTCTTTCCTTCTTGCTGAATCTTAGTTTTTTAAATTTAAAAGAATATACTAACAACTGCATTGTCCTTCACATTACTGCAATCCGGAGCGTAAACGATAACTGAAGCTAATAGTCCATAGTCGACTTTGTTATGAGCGATTTTATTCGGGATGAAGACTCGTTTAACTAATTTATCGGTTGATAAATCGAAGATTAACAGCCGAGGTGAGCACAGGTGATCTTCCCCCGATGTACCATCATCCACAACGAACAGATGATTGCATTTAATCTAAAGATGTTATTATATTTATAATATAATAATATATTGTACTTTATTATTATTGCACAAGCAATTGTGAACGCAATGCAAGTAGCATCGTATGTATTTAACGTACTGTCAGTCGTTACATATCACAATCAAATGTGCGATTTGTCGCCTAAAATTAAAGCTATTAATACTTACGTCTATTTGATAAACGCCACCTGCAAGACCGTTGCACTCTGTTGTATTCCTATACCAAGACCAATCTGGATACGGACGCAACAGTGGACCACCTTCTCCCTGTTTATTTGTTACCGTCATCAAACTAACCGGTACGCCTTTATCTTTCACCGCGGTAATAAATACTCTACCATCTATAAGAAGATTGGTTAAAAGCGCAATTTGTGCTAGATGTTAAAATATATCATAATTTTGTTAAATAAATTTATCATAATTTTATACAAGAGCAATGTTGTTTGCATTAGCAACATCAAAACTGTATAACAAAATTTAGGGCGTGTCTATGTTTAGTATAACAATTGTAAGCTTTCGTGTAGAAAGTTATTTCCAAAAGGCATTACTAGAAAATTTTTGAATAATGTCAACCTACCAGGTGCCTTATCTACATCATAGAGAAAGGCAACGCTAGGGTTGTACGAGCCGGAGTCTATCGCTTCCTGCTTCTGTTGCGGACTCTCCCAGAGAAGATCAAGGTATTTCCATTGATACTCGGGACGCACTTTGCCGAAACTTACAGTAGTTATCGACAGAATTAATATGAATAGGATAAAATGCCTCATTTTTGCGTAACTTATAGTCACTTATATATGTAATAATATATAACGTAACTAAGCTCTAGATGGAGATACGTAGAACGGAAATACGTATCTCGGGAGAGGAAATGTATGAATGCAACTAACATTAACCTGTACTTACGATATATATTTGCAATATAATGAAAATTCAAGACAATGTCCTCATTTAGATTATGCTCTAAATAATCACAACTTTGGAAGTCACCTCGGAATTATCATATTTTCTGCGTAGGAGAGACATACATTGATCTATATTAAGTGCATTTATACATATATGTATCTTAATTCTTCATTTCTTATTTCACGTCATTGATAATATATGTAGAGTAATTAGCTTTACGTTGAAATAATTGTTCGGTATAATTGTTATAAGCTATGTATTTATACAGAATTCGCATTTATGGAACGGATACGACGATATGAGATTGTCATTGATAGAGAGAGAAAAAAGACATTCATTTATACAACAGTAAATTAATAGATAATTATAAATTAATTTTTATTTCTTAACATATTTATAATATTTTATGAATTAATTTACTCATTCCTAGATAATATACGTGATGTTGTTGATTTATTCAAGTTGAAATTATTGTACGGGATAGTTAAACTCGGAACTTAATAATCAATGTTTCAAAGAAACTCTTGTCTTTGATTATTTTTACATCATTTACATTACATATGCACTGATTTATTTTCTGCATAGAGAGAAATGAGATCATACATGACAAAGATATAAGTGAATGACGGAAGTAGGATTATCCACGACTTTTACACTTTATTAGCATTTATGTACTACCTGTACTAGATTTGTCAAGTTTAATTGTGAGGAATCATATATGTGTCATATGTTATATTTTAACTGTCTCTTCGCGCACTAGTCACTGTACTATATACATATATTTAATATTTAGTAATGACTTTTCATGTATGAGCAAAATTTCTTCTTTGTGCTTATTAAAAATCGTTTTATTACATAATTAAAATTTCGAAGAAGTGGTTGGAATTGTCATATCATATCATGCTATTAAACATAAAATGTTTGGTTTATTTCGTTCTGATTTAAAATATCAGTCTTGGCGATTAGTTGGCACTTTTCACTCTCTCTTTCGCAGACACAAGAGATTGGCATAAGTCGATGTCAATTTATTTCTTCATTGTCAGACACTAACATATATATAGAGAGCAAGTAACAGATTTTATATTGAGAAGAGTTTCGCGAATTATGTTTTAATTGTAAAAGTGGAAGTAGAACATTGTTTTATGCGATTAATTAAGAGTAAGATTTGACTATAAAAATTATCCTATAAAATTATTCTATGACTGATGTCGGTTTCTTAATCCGAAAGTACATGATACAATTTTTCCTATTGGATTGCGTACGAGAACCAATTTGGTGACTTAAGGCTTAATCCTGATTGGCTCTCGTAAGCAATCTAGTAGTAGGAAAAATAGTATCGTGTGCCGTTAGCTTTACTTACCATACATTTGTCTCCAAAATGTAATTGTATATTAATTTCCCGTAGATGTATGTAGATTTTTTTTATTTTCTCTGTCATCACGAAAATTTTCGCATACAAATCATTACTCGCACATATACATATATTCCAAATACAGTAGAGGATTTTGTCGTCTTTTTTCCGTTCAAGAGTACAAAGTGCATCTGAACCCTAACTAGAAGCTCCTAGAGCACACGGTACAATCATCCTCAACAGATCCGAAGCTATTCCGTCTCTGCTTGTAATTCAGCGAACCAATACTAAATACTACCGCACACAGCCTCAGACAGAAGTCGGCTGCTACATCTTCGAGTTTCTCTGTTATTGTTTTGTTGCAAAATATAAGCTAGTATAATTAAATATCCAATGTTCGAATGACGATTTCACTGAATGCAATATTTATTTGTCGACGTGAAGGCCAGTATCAAAAATTATATGTTAGATCGCTGCTGATATAATTATGTTAAATATGTTAAAATAAATATGTTAAAAATAGTACCATTGGGCAAGCAGACAGCTTTGTGACCATTCGTAGTAAAAATATAAATCAATGTGGATGAATTGTAGACAGGATATCTAATTCGAGAAACGGGAATATCTCGAGAAGTTACATATTCAATGAACTTTTTTCCATTTATGTCAGTTAATGCTACCAATTTTCACTTTCTGGTGTTGATGGGAAAATTGTTTTGCATTATGAGATTTTAAATCTATAAAAATTCACATTTATCTGTTTCTTTGTCAGTCTTAAGTTTTCTAATTTATAATTTTTCATATCGAGGTACAAAAAATTGTAAGATTATGATTGTGATGATAGTAATGTTGCATACTTATCATAATATTAAACCAAATCGGTATACAGATTTCTTTTTGCAATCAGATTAGTATACGCTTAATTATTTAAATAATTATTATGAAACACTTGATTTTTATGACGCATATGAGAAAGATAAATTTTATTTTTATGTTGACAATCTTATTACATATTGTGCTTGCGAAAACCTTAGAAAAGTTTATTTATCTTTAAATTATAATTATTCTAAAGGAGACTGGAAATAGTGGAAATTTTAGAAGACCCACATATCCACAGGCTATTTAACTGCAACATGAAAATATGCGTACATAACTTAACCTTTTTCTTTTATTATATATTGCAATATACGTCACAATATATAAGAAAAAGTAAAATTTGAAGATACTTTACTAGTTGCACGAAGAAAAGCAATTTGTATTTTTTTCAATCTCCTTAATTGGCATTGAGAAAACACGGAAATTTGTCTCATTCAGATTTAATAGATGTTGATACCGTGGATCATGCGGAGAAGATGAGCCCATTAAATGTATGTGATATTTATTTGATAAAACAAATAACTTGCGTTCTCTAATCTTAATTCCACTTGGAAATTGTAGTAATTTTGGATCGTGTGCAACTACCGCCTGAAATTAATTTCATTCGTTACAATAAAAATACAAGCATTGTTGCCAACAACAATGTCCGGTTAGGTACAAAGTAATTAAAATAATCTAGTATACAGAGACTAATGGCATTCGAATATCGCACCTTATTTTTGGAGTCAATTGCTTTAGTAGCGTCCGCACACATAATAGATGTTTTGGTAATGTCGCTGAAAAATAATACACATCTATCAGACGTTATTGCTGCTGTCTGTCCATTTAACACTCCCGCTAATTTAGTCCGCTGATTAGCTCGCGCGATATCCTCTCCCGAACATTCCATTAGTTTCGAATATTCTATTTTATATATTTTGTTCCCCGCCAAAGCAGCATAGTATAAGCCTAAAACATTTATCGTCGAAATATTAATCGCCTAGAGTAGGATAATATCGCTAATATATCAATTTTTACAATTATCAGTACATAAAGCACATGTATACATGGATAACAATAAAAAAAGAAGAATAAAAATGATATAATCGAAAAGAGGACCTCTCTCTCTCTCTCTGATGTTTAAAGGTAGAATTAAAACTCGTAATAAGCCATGTAATAATGAATTCGTGATCGAGTAGCGATCTTCATTTCTTAATAAACACAAACGGGTACTTACTTTCACCAATAAGTGCCAGGCCATAGATAGTGTCAGTGAGAGGATAACTCACGTTGTCTAGTACGAAACCATTATTAGTTGGTTTCATGAAATCAGATTCGATTCTACACATCTTCGCAGTACGTCCATTATATACCACTAGACCAGCACCTTCTACGTCTCCCATAAATACCTGAATCGCGATTTGATTAATACAATATTATTATAGTCGCAGATCATGCATTAAACGTTCATAAAGAACTTTTGGAATATTCTTTCCCTGTTTCTGTGCTTCTAACTGAATCTTAGATTTCTTAAATTTAAAAGAATATACTAACAACTGCATTTTTCTCCACATTTCTGCAATTCGGAGCGTAAATGGAAAGTGAGGCTAACAGTCCTCTGCCGGTTTTGTTGTGAGCGATTCCAATATTGACGCGGACTCGTCTAACTAATTTATCAGTTGATAAATCGAAGATCAATAACTGTGGCAAGCATAGTTGATTATCCCCCGATCTACCACCATCCACAATAAACAGATGATTGCATTTAATCTAAAGATAGTAAACAAATGTAAATATTTTACATTTTATTATTATTGCACGAACAATTGTGAACGCAATAAGTAGCATCGCGTCTTACGTACTGTCAGTCGTTATATATCACAATCAAATGTGCGATTTGTCGTCTAAAATGAAAGCTCTTAATACTTACGTCTATTTGATAAACGCCACCTGCAAGACCGTTGCAATCTGTTGTATTCCTATACCAAGACCAATCTGGATACGGACGCAACAGTGGGCCACCCTCTCCCTGTTTATTTGTTACCGTCATTACACTAACCGGTATGCCTTTATCTATCGACGCGGTAATAAATACTCTACCATCTATAAGAAGTTTGTTTAAAAATCCAATTTGCACTACATGTACTTAGATGAATATATCACAATTTTGTTGCAACAGCAGTGGTATTTGCATTAACAACATCAAATAATAAAACTTCGAGCGTTTAGTACATAACAATAGTAAGCTTTCGTATGAAAAGGCATCCGAATTTCTAGAAATAATTGCTCTAAAATCTTTGAATAATCTCCTACCATGTACAATAATCAACCTACCAGGTGCCTTATCTACATCATAGAGAAAGGCAACGCTAGGGTTGTACGAGCCGGAGTCTATCGCTTCTTGCTTCTGTTGCGGACTCTCCCACAGAAGATCAAGGTATTTCCATTGGTATTCAAGACGCATTTTGCCAGCACTCATAGTTTCCATCGATAGAATTGACATGACTAGCAGAAAATACCTCATTTTGCGTAGCATATACTCGATTATACATGCAATAATATATAACGTAACTAAACTGTGTTAATGGAGATACGTATCTCGCGAGAGGGACTGTATGAGTGAGACTAACGTTAGCTTGTATTTAGAGGATATATATTTATAATATAATGCATTTATGGAAATTTAAGACAATAGAGCCTCATTTAGATTCTCATTTATAAATAATCGTAACCTGGGGGTTCAACTCGGAATCATCACATTTTCTGCATAAGAACTACATATGTTATATCGAATGTATTTACATATTGCTTTATGTAATATCTAGTTAATGATAATATGTACATCTAGAGTGATTAGTCAGTATAAATCTCGGTACAATTAATCTGTTGTATTGTTAAATAACATATGTGCTTATGCAGAATTTGTATTGTTAATACTTGTAGCAGTATGGAATCATCATTGATAGAAAGAGAAGGGAATTTTTCACATTTATTTGAACAACCGTACATTAATAGAAAATTGAAAAATTTCTAAATCCCTAGACATATATGTATAATTTTATTAATCTTCGATTGAGTTGAGATCGCATTCTGGGAGACATTCGTATGCAAAACATAACGATGTACTTTACGAAGGGACTTTATCATATTTGTTTACCACATTGGAGCTGTTTGTTATTTATTTTCATTCTATTATACATGATAAAATGGAATGAGATCGTAGGCATAAGTTACAAAGTGGGTGAATAACAAAACGATAATCAGAGCTTATCGCAATTCGTTAGCATTTATGTGTACGGGATTTATCAAGTATTATAATGAGGAATCATATATCAATAACGTATGAGGTGTCATACGTTATTATAATCTATATCTTCCTTCACGATTTGGTCATAGTACTGTGTATATTTAATTAGCCATTATTTAAGACATTTGAATGAATAAGCAAGAGTAATTTTCTTCGGTGTTTACTAGAAATGATATTTTTTTATTATATAAATCGAATCTCGCAGAATTAATAGTCGAATGATTGGAATAGTTACGTTATATCGTATTACTGTAAAATATAGGTTTTATTTTTGTTGTGATTTTAAGTTTCATTCTTGGCGCTTTGTCGACACCTTTCACTCTCTAACTCGCAGGCATGAGGAATTAGTGTACTCGACTTCGGTTTGTTTCTTTGTTACGAATGTAGGGAAGCGATTCAGGGACAATGAGACGTGCTGCAAACGGGAGATGCACGCTCAGTCCATCAATGTCGTGAGTGATCTGATTCGAAGCGACTGGTACTCTGTGGTTAAGACTGGTCATGACTGGCACAGCTATTCCGACTACGACAGGGAGCAAGTGCTGCGATGTTTCCGCTTGTAGTCACGTGTAGTTCCGATTGTAGTTCAGCGAGGGAGATCACTTTGATCTTCCTTCAATAAATTCTTCGAAATTTTCATTTTGCTGCCAATTTTTAATATTTATTGCGGTACTTAATATATTTCTAGTTTCGTCAGTGTTTAATTTAACATGCAGCTGTCAGTTAAAACTTCTTTCAAGGAGTATCCATGTTCGCGACAATCTTTAGGTATTCACAAGAAGGAAAAGTAAATTTAAAATATTACTTATGATCCGATTTGTGTTAATCGAGACACTTGCCTCGTATCGAACATTTTACCGATATCGATTTATTTCCCTTGCGTATGTACATACATGTTAATGTTGAAGAGCTCTTTTTATTTCATGAGGTTGAGAATAGCAATCTTGTTATTCTCTGCGTGCGTTAAACGAAGTATCTCGATACTTTTCATGGTATATGGCGTTCTCTTTTTCTGAATGAGTTACTCTGTTACAACGCCTTTTTATTTCGCGCGTCCCACGCTATTCTAACTTACGTCACCCCGCATGATGAGACGCATTCGTTGCCAATCGCGAGTACCAATAAATGCGCATCGCGCGTCCGCAAAGTTTCAGCCCTCCATCCCTACGCGAGCGTCGCGCACAACAATCGTTTCCGTTTATTCGTCGACAATGCGCCAAACTTTCCAGTTGGACCGCGCGCTGGCTGGCTGCACGGGCGCCGGGTAAGCTCGGCGCGATGTATTTGCTCGGCTGTTCTCGGCCGGGAAACTTGGAAATTTATTCCCGGGGAAATTCGCGCGCGTTTGAATTTTTAGCAGGCTGACGCGCGGAACTTTCTTTCTTACGGTGGCAGCGAAACGCCGCCTACCTCGCTCGCTTAATCGCCTATAAGAAAGCGATTCTGCCGGAGTCAATCTCTCTGCCGTTTCCTCGCTTGAAACGAGGGCGAAAAGGTCGCCAGAGATCCGAGAATTCATTCGTACCGTTGTGCCCTGCTCTTCACCCTCTTCTCTACGCGAGGAGTGATTGATCGATCTCTTTCTCTCTCCCTTCATGTTTGTTTCGCGTTGAACGTGTCCAAATGGATCGAGAACAGTTTGTTACCGATTTAACATGCAGCTAGAAAAGGAAATTAAATTCTCGATCTATCGCGCATTCTGATATCGACAAACGTATCGATTATGAGTGGCTCTTATCAACGCGAGTAGCAAAGATGGATCTTTTACAATCGCAATAACAATACTAGATAAGTTTAGAAAATAATTCAATATTTATTGTGCAACTTATACGTACACTTTTGTAACACAGCAGTTTATCCTCTTCGCTGTCAGAGATCAGAACGACTGATAAGCGTAACCTCTCACAAATCTTTGTACGTAAAATATAATGAACGGATAAAGCTTATGTAACTTTAATGACGTTAAAGCACCACTTTCAAGCAACATCTTTGTCGTAGTAGCGCGACCGCATCTCTTCCTTTTACCTTCACCTCGTTGGATTGTAATTCCCGGCGCATTGATTCGACGTAGGTACATATGACGCCGACTGCAGTACACAACGGCCGTAACTTCGGGAACTTTTGTTTGAATTATGTTGAACGAATCGTGGAAACTGGTGACGCTATCGGTGCGTCAGTCGACAGAAACAGTCGTAATGTGCCACTCGAGTTCAGTTCTGTTGCCGGCAAGGCAAGGCGGTAATGGCGTTGCGAGCTGCAGGCAGCCACCAACTACCACTGACGATACGAATCGCACAAAAGCCCGTTGCGCGCGAATGTCCCTTTGTGACAGAGAAGGAGAGATACAGAGATAAGTTTTCTTTTATCCACTTGTTTGCTCCGCAGAATCGGGCTCGACGCAACATCGAAAAATTCGGCCGCCCGGAAAGTCAAGTTTGCATCAATTGTTTCAGGGCATCTTTCAGATCAATAAGAATAAGGAATCGATAAGAACAAGTGCAGATTAACTATACGAGGTTTTAGAGTTTGTAGAAAATAGAGACGCTGAATACACGTGTGTAGTGCAGAAAAGGAAGTTAAATTGGCATCCCTTTTGTTTGTTTTTGACAATTAGTTTGTGAAAAGAAATTATTCATTTGCGAATGCGGATCGCAGTCATTTTATAATCGCGCGGACATCGTGGGCGCTTCAATGTTGAAAAGTGTTACGCAGTACGTATATATATATCGAAGTAAGCTATTACCGTCTGCGTTGGCGTTTCGCCCTGGCCTCTCTCGGGCTGAAATATTACAAAACGATGCAGCGATTGTTGAATATATAGAGACACCTCGGTCAAAATGCGGTTTCGCGCAGCGCGTTTAATTGCGACGAAATTTACGTCGATCAAATCGCCGACACGGATAACGGCGAAAATTTATTGTCACGCTAAACGACGAGTCCCCTCCCGTGTCGCCGCCCGTATGATTCTGCTAATTATAATCGCGATATCCGTATTATTAATCGCCATTATCGATTGTATCATGCTGGACGCGTCGCCGATGACACGCAGGTTGACTTTGCCTGAAGCGTGACCGGTTTGCGAGGCGTGGCTGATCGTTATTGTTGTAATCCCGTTAAACACTGCTCACAACAATGTTAATAAAATAGCGCTGATTTGATAATGGATATAAATACCGAGAAGTACAGGCGGGAATTAACTTAGGTTCGCTTAAATAACAATTGCACGTAGAGTTGTGTGTCGGTGTGATCTAAGTCTATCTGTCGACTTGTCATAATCTAGCGTGATTAATTATTACTGTTGGTTATTTGTTATTAATTATGATTCATTAATTTCTGGTTTTGACCGTCCAATCTTGGCCCAGGTTGCTCCACGTTCGCGTTGTACGCAGACCGCGACTGTAACAATCACCGTCGGCCACACGCTCTCTTTCGTTCTTCCCCTGAGCGATCCGGCGCGCAACGTCGATGCCGGTAATGACGATAACGAATCGCAGTAATGGCGAGGCGGCCCGGCGATTCGTTTTCGACAAAACGGCGACGGCGCCGTTCTCGAATGCGCGTAGTCGGCTGCTAGGTAGGAACAGCCCCAGGACGGTTATCGGAGTCGATCATTCAATTTCGCGTTGCAAATTGTCCGCGCCGGAAACTCATATCCGGGCACTTCCGGTTCTGCCTGGTCCCGCCCCGCCGGGAAGAAGAGACCGTCGGCGGCGACGGGCCCCAGACATCCAGTGGGGGCTGGTTAACGGCGGGGGCACCGCGAGGGATGGGGGCTCGGAAGGGAAGAAGAGACAGACGGGGGAGAATCGGGGAGGCGCAGAGTCAGGGCTGAGGGCATGGCTTCATCCTGACGCAAATGAGCGGTGAACTCGCTTCCGGTCTGCCCTCCAGTCTGTCATTTCGCCTGCTGAGACCCGGCCGCCGCCGAATCTCTGTTACCTGTGTCGAATAGGCGATGACTGGTAATCGACTTTATTTCTTCGCTCGTCATATTAATTTAATATTATAGATGAAAAGTGTTGTTAACTTTTGATTAATCAATTTTTAGACATTTTCTTCCTTTACAATTTCATGATTGATGATTACCTTTAGCTTATTATTGATCAATTCAGTCTTCGATTGGAGAGAAATTTTTCCATCGACTTTCAACGAAAGAATTTTACCTGTCCCTATTGAATTGCATTCATCATCGTCAAGTTTCATAGACACAATGTTTATTAAAAGTAGCATATAATATTTCTTTTAAAATTTTCACAATTTTTTTCCGCGCGCCTTTTTGCGACATAAATTATATTCTTCACCATACGAGTGACCATCGCTGGATTGACGTAT